TCCATTATTATCCCCACTTTTCAATAATTTCATGTGAATATTATATTGGATTTTAAGTGTAATAAACTTTATCCATTCGTCGGCCTTCTTAGGAGAAAAGTCTTGTAATGAGGTTTAAACTGTTGGCTAAAATCAGCGGTTAATGTTAGTGTTAAAAAATTTCAGCATAGTCTCAACCAACCATTTGAGTAAATATTGAATTAATCAAAATGTGATTATCATGTCTGGTGTCCGAGCAGTGGATTATCAAAGATAAGTCACATATAGGGCAGATATATTGAATGGTCGGCTTAATTGCTCAAGATTAATAATTAGACTTTTTAAAATACAATTAATATTAATGTTGCTTAATATTACCCAATATTAACAATAATTATACTATACACCTTATCCTCGATTTAGGGAGACTCGATATAAGGATTCGATTTAGGAGAGGGTTTTTTGCTGCACCGACCGCTTCTATGAAAGATTAACATTATGGCACTCGATATAAGGAAAATTCGATTTAAGCAAAACTCGATATAAGAGACATACTTTACTACACGCACAGCACAGCTGCACTCTATTTAAGCGAATTTTATGTCAAAAACAGTAAATGAAAACGAGTTTTGTTTAGAAGTGTTGATTAAAAGCAGTAGATAAAAACACGTTTTGCATAAAAGTGTAGATTATTTGCATAAAAACACATTTTGCCTTAAAAATGGCTGACAAAAGGTCTCGAAATAGTTTTTCATTAATGACTACGTATAAAGTGAGTAAATTAGTTGACAAAAAGTGTCCAAATTAAGAGATAATTAAACAATTTAGTGCTAAAGGTCTCAAGATGTCAAACATTTATAAGTTATGTGCCCAAAGAGATACCATTATTAGGAAATTTATGTTAAACACTACTGGCTCTGATATGAGTTTTAAATTAATTAATAAATTAGAGAATGAAATTTATTATAGTAGACAAAAGTGTTTAAAACAAACTAAAATTACTGATTATATGAATTAAATATAACTTTATCTAATAAAACACGAATTTAATCCTATATTTGCTGTTTTTAATGCTGAATTTATATGAAACTCGATATAAGGAGAATTCGATATAAGAGACACATTTCTGTTTCACCAATCATTTCCCTAAATCGAAGATAAGGTGTATAACAAAATAAATTATAAGTTATTTCTAAAAATAATATGTTGAAACAATCGTACATAGAAACAAAATTAAAAAACAAAATATTAATCAAAATTCAACCAAGCATATTATTTAATTGCAAAATGTTGACCATGTACGATTTCGCGTGACCATATAATTCAAACTCCAAATAACGATTACTTGAGCTATCTTGAGTCTTATATTATACTATCCGAATTTAGTAGCAAGGGTGATAAGATTTTGACTTACGACAATGGTTTTTCTATTTAACAAGTAAAACTAATTAATTAAAAAGTAGTTTATGTCATAATTTATGTAATTTATATTGTATAATTTAGGCCAAATCAATAATGACAACTTTTAATAATTTTTAAATGTAAAATTAAATAAAGTAGATTATAGTTAAAGGTAGGGCTAAACTAACTTTGCTTATATTTAGGCAAACAGATGTGGCAATGATGCCGGTGTTTATATTTGCTGAATTAAGCGTCAAGTTTGATCCAAACATTCATAGTATAAGGGACAATCCCACCTTCAACACATTTGTTATCGCCGCCTGTTATTTCTGTGCCCTTATTAACGAACTCTATTCGGTTAAAAAAGAGGTGTTTAAAGGGGGCGACGTTCGCCACGAATACCTGTACCTGATTATGGTATGGGAGGGCTGTTCAGCACAAACCGCTGCCGACCGTATTGTGTCCGAAGCGAAAGTTGCCCACAATAGAGTACTTGATTATGGTAAACAATTGAACATGTTTAATATACCCGCTCTGGACCGGTATGTCACGGAGGCTATACGTATCTGCGATGGCATTCATTACTGGTCAACAATATGCGAGAGATATAACTCGTGGAATAAATAGAAGTTGGTAGTAAATGTTAAATGAATTTAATCATGGGCAAATTTTATATATTAATTGTAGCGTTTGTAAAGTTAATTAATTTTAGAGTTAAAACTAATAGTAATCTGTTATTCAGAATAACAAGTTATAACAAAAATAACAAGTTAATATATTAATAAGTTATTATTAAAAGCTGAATTTGTATTTAATTGTTTATTAAAATAATAAATGTATCTATTTTATACGATTTTAATCTGGGTCATATATAATAGATTATATTATGAATACAAATTATTTTGCCAAAGTATGCCAGCGTATGAATTTACAAATAACTGTTATATTTGTAATTATTAAATATGTATTATAAAATTAACTATAATTCAAACAAAGTACTAAATAAACAATCTTTTTCTAGATTTAGAAATATTTACAAATACATACGAATCATGTAAATTATAATAAACAAATCACTAATAAATAAATTACAAATGCTAGTAAAACAGATTTATGTCAATTACAGGTAAAAATCAAATGAATTGAAACAAAAGTCAAACAAAACATCAATCCAACACATTAATCAAAATTCATTATAATAATTATTTAATGGCAAAATGTCGACCATGAACGATTTCACGGGACGGGTAGCGCTGATAATAATATAGTCCAAACTTTATGAACTCTAAATACTTTCAATGAAATGTTGTTGTAATGACTTTAATTTTGGTATAATCTTTATTATTAACATCCTGAGTACATGAGATATAAACCCATGGTAATAACTATCCATATCTCTCACTGTTCATATGAATTGTGTATTAATACATAAAGTTATATAACAAAACACTATTGGTAATTATTATCATTCATTAGATTGGCCAGCGACCACTCTACAATATTCTAGTAATGTGTCAGTATTAATAATGACATAATTATTTTGTAAACTGCAACTATAATTGCAACTTTGTTATTTAAGAATACAATGTCAAACGAGTCCAAAGCGCTGACATTTTTAGATTTCGCCCCTAAAAAATATCTAAATAATTATTGCGATAGTAAAACGGGCGCAAAGCACCTTGATCAACACCAGGTAAAACAAATACTATCGTTTGAAATCCGCGATTTTGAGCCCAAACCCGTATCGGTTAACCCGTTGTACGAAAAATCGGTCCAAATTGTTGAGCAAGACATGAGTGATTTGTGTGGCCAACAAATTTATGACCATTATAATCTATCCGGCTATTCATCCTACATCTTTACAACTGCTAATTGTGATCATTATTGTGCCGCAAACTACTGGAATGTTTTTGCTTTTGAATTTGACAATTACCTTGATAAAATCTGCGATAACGCCACATACAGGTAATATTTTAAACTACAACTAAATTGCTAATTATAACAATTAATCTAATAAATTCACATTTTAGAGAATGGATCATAAAATATAAGGCAGGCGTATGGGCGGCAAAAATACCCCAGGATGGATTACTGATGAAATTGATCTGGTACATAAATACAGCTCTTAGCAAAGATCAAGCTACCCGTTTACATAGCGATTACTTAGGCTATCTTGAGTCTTATATTATACTATCCGAATTTAGTGGCAAAGATGATAAGATTTTGACTTACGACCAGTGGTTCAGAATAAGGTAAATCTATTTAACAAGAATTACTCTAATTAATAAAAATTACAAGGTAGTTTAGATTATAATTTATGTAATTAATTTGTTTATATGTCAGCAATTAATAAGAGTCAGACACGTCTAACTTATTTGCCAAATTAATAATAACATAAATAATTTTTAAATGTAACTTAAAGTGTATTAGCTTAAGGTAAAAGTACGAGCTAGTCTGACTCTATCTGTCTCATATACAGGGAAACAGATGTTGCAATAATGCCGGTGTTTATATTAGGTGAATTAAGCGTTAAGTTTGATCCAAACGACCATGGTCTAAAGAACAATACCATCTACAAGACATTTGTAAACGCCGCCTGTTATTTCTGTGCAATTATTAACGAACTCTACTCCGTTAAAGCGGAGGTGTTTAAAGGGGGCGACGTTCGCCACGAATACCTCTACCTAATTATGGTATGGGAGGGCTGTTCAGCGCAAACCGCTGCCGACCGTATTGTGTCCGAAGCAAAAGTTGCCTACAATAAAGTACTTGATTATGGTAAACAATTGAACATGTTTAATATACCCGCTCTGGACCGGTATGTCACGGAAGCTATCCGTATTTGCGATGGCAATCATTACTGGTCGACAAAATGCGAGAGATATAACTCGTGGAATATATAGAAGTTGGTAGTGAATGTTAAATTAATTTAATGATGTGCAAGTTATTAGATAATAATTGTGGCGTTTGTAGGGTTAAATAATTGTAGAGGTAAAGTTATTAGTAATATGTTATTTTATTCATTTTGATTTTTAATTTTATATTTAATTTTTACTAATCTTATTAATAAATATGTTATTTGAAAATTAAAAGTTATACTGTTGTATTGCTTATTAACTTCTGTTATATTATTTTAAAATATATTAATATTACTAAACAAATTACATGGAATTATTGCAAGTATTTATTTTATTATGGGCTAAATATTACTAACGAGTAAATAGTATTTGTTTGTTTGTGGTAAAAATTTTGAATAGGTGTCATATTTGTAATTAACTGTTATAATTTTTATAATATATTGTTTTTGTAAAAGTTTATAGTTTATTTAATATGTATTATAAAATTAACTTTAATTTATAAAATTACTAAAAAATAATCTGTTTTTATATTTATATACGTATATTTACGAATAAATACATGTTTATTTAAATTATAATAAACATGCTACTAATAAATAAGTATGGATAATTATGTTTATTAAATAAACAATACTAGTAAAACAGATTTATTTGAGTTACATGTAAAAATGACATAAAGAAACAAGTGTATATAGAAACAAATGTCATTCATAAAAACAACATAATATTCAAAATTCAACATAATAATTATTGAATCGCAAAATGTCGAGCACGTACGATTTCACGGGACGGGTAGCGCTGATAACGGGGTCGAGTTCGGGCATCGGTGCGGCCATAGCTATACTACTGGCCAAAGCGGGCGCCCGAGTGGTCATCACTGGACGTAATTATCAAAAACTCGCCGCAGTTTATAAACAGTGTTCAGATGTGTCGCCTCATAAATGCCGTCCAGCGGTTCAAGTAGTGGCCGACGTGACCAAAGAGGTCGATATGGACCGACTTCTGGCCATTACTATCGATACTTTTGGTCAATTAGATATTCTGGTCAATAACGTAGGGTTTTTGCCGTCGGCGCCCATATCTAGCAATCATTATATGAAAAACTTCCGCTCAGTTATGGACACAAATCTCGATTCAATTGTCTATTTAACGCATAAATCGGTACAATATTTGGCTAAAACTAAGGGATCTATAATTAATATGTCCAGTATTTTGGCAAAAATAACAGTAAGATATTAATAGTTCAGAGCAGAATAAAATTCATATAATTATGATAATTTACCAATTAATATTGCATCATGATCAGTGCACACCCTTATCATCATATTGCATGTCAAAGGCAGCGCTCGATATGTTTACCAAATGCCTAGCCGTCGAGTTGGGCCCCAAAGGCATACGTGTCAATTCAGTCAAGTAAGTATTATTTTACCATCATTAAATAATTAATTTCTAATATTAGTGTCATTATATATTCATTACGAATACTATAGTCCGGGCAGTATTTATACCGATTTACTCGAGAATGGCTTTGGTATTACAGGGGCCGAGAGTAGAGCCCTGTTTGATAGGGTCGCCGCCAACTATCCGGTCGGACGAATGGGCGAAGGTATGGATGTGGCCAATGCCGTGGCCTATCTGGCCAGTGATCAGGGTAGTTTTATCACAGGCACCCACCTTTTTGTAGACGGTGGTCATATCGCCGCTAATATTTCAATTGAGTTATAAAATTAATGCTTTATATAATTTAAGTAACGCTTTATTACTTCAAAATTCTATGTTGTAAACACATTTTATTATATGTCTTATTATTAGGTTTATAAGTTATTAAGCTTAATTATTCTTTGTGTAATACATACAGTATGTTACTATTCTTACAACGTCAATAATTGTGTTATATTCGTTATGTGTAGCATTTTTATAGATTATTGTTATAATTTATAACTTATAATTTCAATAAAACTAAAACATATAAAATATTTTCAAATTATAACGTTATTATAAAAATAATATCTTTTAGATAAGTAGATAATAAATAATTTAATTTTACAGTAGATAGTAAATTTAATATCTAATGTAAAATTAAAATAATATCTATAAATAATAATTATTAATATAACATAATAATTATTAGATTATATTAAACATTGTTAAACATTGTCCGTATGTCTTGTGGTTTAGGAGTAATCCTCTCCCAAAAAAGTATACTCTCGACAAAACATAAATTTCTAGTTAAAACTACAATAAATCATATTTGAACATGATGTGGCATAATATTACAATATTTGCAACTACAATGCAATTAAAATTTGTTATTAATTTTATGTTGCCTATTAATAAGGTAATTAATTATTAAGATTCAATACAATATTGGGTCTTGTATTTAATAATGAGCGATAAAGGTATCATTATTTGTAAATGGATTATCTAGATGTTTATAATGAGTAGGTGTGCTCATTATTGGCCTTAAATATCTCTTTATTATTAGTTTATGTATAGTTGTGTCCAAATCGCATATTAATATCTGTCCAACCGATCTCTGGCCACCCGTACGGCAACACATATTAGACATTGTTTTATGCAAAATTATAAAGAGCTTATTTGACGCGATTGATCGCCCGAAAAAAATTAACACATTTATAATGTAAATTGTATGAGTGAACATCAATGACCATTATGGCTAAAAATGTGCCGCGTCCTTGATTGTAGCCGTGGTGGTCACCCGATGTTCGGTCACTTATCGTTAGTCTTGAAACTGGTTCGGGACTCCGATGTCAAACATATTGGCTGATGATATGTTCATAGGGTAGAGATGCAAGGAATAGACTATTGAGGATCACTTAGAAATGTTTACAAAAGGCTAGCGATTAAATTAACGATGTTTTACAGTATTTTAATGCAAAAAAATTCCCGAAAAAGTACTTTTGAAAATAAAACTCCAATTAAAGTTTAATAACAGGAAGTATAAAAACTATACCCACACTGCCATCAACCCTGATATACCCCCTACTGATTACCACAGATACCCATCATTTCTAGTGCCTCTAAGAGAAATGGTGTTCAAAATGGTAGATGTCATAAAATCGGGGGTGTCTTCAGTTTTTTGTCATAAAATCCAGTTTATTCTTCAATTAGGAAATTGAAAAATTTGTGACACAATGGGAGATAATAGATGATTAGTGCAGTGAATAGATCGCTAATCCATGTATATTATCGTAGGAATAAAATATTTACAAATAATGATACTTTTACCGCTCATTATTAAATATAAGACCCAATATATACAATGTAGTTAAAATAGATAATTACTATAAAGTTAACAGTTGGAATTTTTTTTAAATTTTTATTATGCTAAAAAATCTTATTTTACTAATATTCTAATTACATCATATCACGTACAAATTACCATAATATTAAGCTAAAGTACAAATTATATTTATATATTGGCTTAATAATATAATTGCCTATTAAATTGCCTACACTGTTTATGACTAATTTATATTTAAGACTAATGAAATATTTGATTTATAAATTCAGTGTATTATATACAGTATTATTGCAAACATTATTACCATTATTATAATATGATTGGTCAGCATTCTGTAAGTTTTGACAAGTGGTCGTCGAGTAAACCCATACCCTGTGAATGGGCTGTTGAGGGGGCGGACAGTCATCTCTACCGAATCGGGTTATCGCTATTTAACCCCGATTTTAATGTTTATAAGAGAAAGAAAACATTTAATCCTATTATAATATTTACTGTTAGTTTAATAATGTTGTTTAAAAACATAATATGCGTACTGTTATACTTTAATTCAAATAATACACCTGGAATATACCATTTGTATCTGGGTAATTTAGATTATTTTACAAACACAAAATTTTTTATAAACTATCTTGTTAGTTTGAATACTATATTTGCTATTTCATCGCAATTACTTAATTACTATAACTATAAACGTGGTGTAAATTCTGGTGATTTACGTGTGTTTAGTGTAATCGCCGGTCGATTGGCGCCCAATTGTATTGGTATTACTGATAGAGATTTGGCCATAAAATTATGTAATATTTGCCGTCGATTACTGTATTTGTGCCGCATTTGTGAAATTATTTGCACACTTGCTGCATTTTGTTATTCATTTCTGATATTTTATTTGTCAAACGATTTAGTTATGTTTATAATCATTGCAATGCCCCATGTCGTTTTCTATAGCGTATGTCTTAATTATTCAAGTCGTATAACACACTTGCTGCATTTTGTTATTCATTTCTGATATTTTATTTGTCAAACGATTTAGTTATGTTTATAATCATTGCAATGCCCCATGTCGTTTTCTATAGCGTATGTCTTAATTATTCAAGTCGTATAGTAATCTATCAAACCGTATATTACATATTCATAGCCTATTATTTGACGGCAAAAATTCGTGTAATAAATACACAAATTAAGGAAAAAGTTACAATTATTTATAGAAATTTAAGCATTTTTAATAATATATATGCTGAGATAAATAATTATAACAAAACATATTGGTGCAAGTTTCTATGCATCATATGGCTCACTTTTAGCACTACAATAAGTTTTTTGATATATTTATCTGTGTTTGCCCATGCTACATTAGTTATTAAGTTCATGACTTTCAGTGCTTTTTTAGTTTATTCGTTATTTTTATTGCTAATAATTCATATCTCGTCCACACTTTATAATGAGGCGAATATTACTTACAATTTGTTGAATTCATTTATAACTCAACCAAAAAGAATATCACTTATAATTAAATTCAAGGTAATATTCTCTCTCTCTCTCTCTCTCTCTCTCTCTCTCTCTTTCATAATAATTAATATTATTTATTATTATTATTTAGGCATTAAATCTGATGGAAAGGATTGGTTGCCATAAAATAGGGTTTTATTGTTGGAAACTATTTATTATAAACAGTTTTAGTGGATATGAAGTCTGTATTAAAATTTAATAAAACCTAAATTAATAAATATTTTATTTATACAGATCATTGCATTTTCAGCAGTTATTTATTTACGAATTATTAATTATTAACATTAAAAATAAATTAAAAGCAAGAGTGAACGATAATAAGTATTGAATTAATTGAATGATACTATAATTTTTATAATAATAATTTCGGACTTAATTTTATATTAATTTTTATTTATTTACAGATCTCTTATTTGTAATGATGACCACTGAATCTAATTGAATATTGTCTACCTGTTAAAATATATTTACTACAATTAATTCAGATTGTAAATTTGATCACCATGTAATAAATTAAATATCTGTAGTTATCAATATTACCTTGATATATTAATTTATTATAACATTAATTTATATAATGAATTCTAAGCCTATAAATGCTAAATTATAAATTACATATAGCAAATTATACAAACATGCTTGTTATTATTATTGCTATTATTATTATGAATATCTCATAAATATTGATTTAAAACTATCATTATTATTTTATGATAATGTTTACTAATTTCAATGCTTTCATTATTTTAATTGATTCAATGCAAATATAATTTAAAATGTCACAAAAATTTTATTATTATAGCTTATTATTAAACGTATTATTTAATTAACATGTTTTCAATAATATATTTTATTATTACAAACTAATGTTCTTTATTTTATTAAAAAATTTATAAATTATATAATAATAGTTTGTAATTACATTTATTTTGCATTTTATTAGTGAACAATTTTATAACTCATAAAACATTATAAATTGTATAATAATATAAAACATTGCATTAAAATAACAAATAAATTATACGAACAATTTTAATTAATATACTGTATATAAACAAGGTAATTAAAATGTTTTACGAGTTATAAAATTTTCCAGTAATAAAATGCAGAATAAATATAATTACAAACTATTATTATATAATTTATAAATTTTTAAATAAAATAAAGAACATTAGTTTGTAATAATAAAATATATTATTGAAAACATGTTAATTAAATAACAAAATATAAGCTATAATAATAATAAAATTCTGTGACATTATTATTTTTAAATAATTTAATACAAATAAAACTAATTTATATCAATAGTATAAAAAACATAGCCCAGTCTTATTTTATAACATTCAGTCAACTTTGAAAATTACTTTAAATATTAAATACTAAAACATGTGGTCATTGCGTAAACCTATACCCCCTGAATGGTGTGTAAAGGGGGCGGACAGTCATCTCTACCGAATCGGTTTATCACTATTTAACACCCAATACAATATAAAACGGCATTTCATATATAATCCATTGTTTATGTTTATAATAATTGCAATGTTTTTTACAAAATATTTAATTCCCATTTATTTGCATAAAAATGACATAGTTGTGTCCAATGTAGTGCATCTATGCCTGGGTGACACTGATCATTTTATGTCTACGGGCTATGCCTTGAATATTGTAATTTTAATGGTCAGTATATATTCAATGGCATCGCAAGCAATACATTATTATAACTATAGAAATGGTATAAAACCAACGGATTTGAGAGTATTTCAAATGATTTCGGGTTTAATTTCACCCAAAAGTATTGGTATTAACGATAGGATAATAGTTCGCAAACTATGCTATATCTCAAGAAAATTATTTGCATTTACAAATAAAGCAGTTAAAATGGCTACATATTTTGGGTTTATTTATACTTTAATTAGTTTGTATCAAGTTAATCACTTTGTTTATTTTATATTGA